TAAATGTATGAATCAGACACAAGAATGATAGTTGATTTGCAAAATATATTGTAAAAACGACGCGAGCTTTTAACCCTTTAGATGTATATGTTTAGACAAAACAAGTACCATTTTAACGTTTGAATACCCTATACGGTACTTTAAGTTGCTTTGGCACACTATATATGATATATATAGGCCTATATATATATAGGCCTATATTTATAATAAACATGTATACATATAGGCTTTTACTGTGTGTAATCACCTATGTAGATTACCAATGTTGATGTATAAACTATTTTAATTTATTTTTCGGTAATTGTGATGTAATACTTAAATAATACCGATTTTGAACTGCAATTATATAAAAAAAATTAAAGAGTTAAACCGGATTCCCAGCAAGCGAGTTAAACACTGGAGAGATCGCGATTTTTAAACAACAGGCATTAACATATGCACATCATAGGCCCATGAGTATAAATTATAATAGCCCTATGTAAATTTATAATTTGATAATTCTTATTCTAAATCATGTCATTTGTGGGTATATTTCAGTGTATTTTTTTCTTAGAATGCAATCTAGATTTATTAGCATGTTTATTATCTCTCTAGCACAGGCTGCTTTCACTTGGCTTATCTAACTTTGCTGCGTTTCTAACTAGGTTACACGCTGAGATGTTCCTAGTTTTTATATTATAGTACTGCCATTTCAGTATGGAGTTTTGTATATCCTATGGGTATGTTTAGCACCGGGCTAGGTGCCCTCCTAACGGTCCACTCGGTAGGCGGCCTACCGTACCGGTACTGCTTTAAACGTTACCGTCAAACGCGGGTTTTCTAATTGACCCTGATTCCATCATCGAAATTGTGACTGGACATCTATCGATACTAAAATAACTTTCATTTACTGTTTGTTTTGCAGTTAACTATCCATTGTCTTGTTGTACCTCCCAATTGTAACACATTGTATACAAATGAGACATTTATTCAACCAACTATTGATAACAAACATAAATCACTTTGAATGTTTTCAGCAAACAAAACGAATGCAGGCTGATTTCCTCTGATTTCCTGCGAGTAATTGCTATAGACAGTAGAAGAAAGACAAAAGAGTTTGCCATTTTAGTAACCCACACTCTTAATTTCCTATTATTTGATCACTCATAAATGTTGACTTTTGCATCGGCTGCATCTATTTCGAAAGTAACGCCTTAATACATGAATGGAAATGTATATTATATATATATGTATATATATATAAATGAACGCCTTAATACATGAATTGAAATGTATATTATATATATATATATAGGCCTGTATGAAATACATTTCAATCTGTCTCTTATACAAATCTTGCCAGACAACTTGATAAC